CGGGCCCACCTACGTCTGGAGCTTCCACCTCAAAACGCGCCACCCGCCGGCCAAGTGGGTGCTGGCAGGAGCGGCGCTGCTGCTGTCTGTGTGACCGAAGTGTCTGATTACATGGACTTCAGAAAGATTTTCCGCAAGACGTAGTTTGTAAAAAAAAAGGACCCCAGTTTCCCCCGTTACCCCTCCAACACGTGTTCGGTGTCTGAAGTTTGATTCCTCAGTTTTAGCGCTGGAGCTACGAGGCTAATGAAGCTAACAAACAGTAGAAGCTAAGCCTGGCGCTCTGCTACGTTCATGGTAGACTTTAATATACTGTGGGCAGAATAACTGTATCTCATCATTATTGTGATAAATTACGATACAATGTGCTTTACTGCACAGATCATTCGCCAGTACGGACAGAACTCCAGGTTCTACTACAGGTTCTGGATAGTAAATAAAATGTCTATATCTGTGTTGTAGTCATGGCGACCCCTGGTTCCTATCACCACCACTGTAAAGATAATCTGAATAGTTCACTATCGAATACCCAGATGATGTACACCACAAATTCCAATGTATACCAGACTGCAACGGTGCCTCAAAGCAGTAGAAGAAGAAGCAGAAGCACACAGACAGCAGAGGGCGCAACACACCAATTTTATATATCCTACAAATATAGGTGTATAATATTTTAACCAACAAACATATCACTGCTGTCGGAACAAAACCTTGTATCTCCATTTTCAGAATCAGAATCAAGCTTTATTGGCCAGGTCTGCTGACACATACAAGGACTTTGGTTTTGATTACAGGAGCTCACAGAGCACAGTATCAGACAGACACTTACATGTAGTGAATAAAATAAAATAAATATAAAATAAAATACAATAAAACATGCATTCTTACCATCACTCACACACACACACACACACAGTCACACACACACACACACACACACACACACTCACACACACACAGTCATACCTGTAAACCTTACAGTGTGCAAAGTATGGGTCTAAAGTTAAAGTGCTGAGTGCAGCAGCAGTTAAAGGGTATATAGTGGCAGAGAAAGGGATCAGTGAGGTACCAGTCAGATAAGTGGGGTAATAAGGCAGGTAAGTGAGGTACCAGTCAGATAAGTGGGGTAATAAGGCAGGTAAGTGAGGTAGCAGTCAGATAAGTGGGGTAATAAGGCAGGTAAGTGGGGTAACAGTCAGATCAGTGGGGTACTAAGGCAGGTAAGTGGGGTAACAGTCAGATCAGTGGGGTACTAAGGCAGGTAAGTGGGGTAACAGTCAGATCAGTGGGGTACTAAGGCAGGTAAGTAAGATGCTATAATAAACACTGGTTTGAGGCGGCAGTTCCAGAGGCTGGAGCTGAATTAGATACTATATACCAGTATTTATGAAGTGCAGTTTGAAGCTGGAATAGTTTAATGTGTAATAATTAACTGTTTAAGAGAGTGATGGCTTGTGGGAAGAAGCTCTTTTGTAGCCTGGATGGCAGGGTTGGACGGCTCCTCCTGAAGTCCACTGTCATCTCCACTGTTTTCGCAGTAGCTCCCAACCAGTGTTGCCGTCTGCAGCGCCATCTTGGTGTGAAATGAATTTTGTTTTTGAATTTTTCAGTTTTTGGCCTGAATTGAAAATGGCTGCCTTCACATTGTGGGTAAATCTCAAACTGAAAGACCATCAGAAATGGTTCAAAATTAACTGGGAAAAAGTCTTACGAGATACGAGGTTTTGTTCCGACAGCAGCGATATCGATGCCCACATTAGTGGATCTGTGATGTATACTTACTTATGTGGCTCCTGAACAGTGAGGAGCGAAAACAGACACTAAGCTTGTGACGAATCCATTTATTTTACTTGATGTGTAAACATTAACAGCTAGCGTTTTCCAAAATCAGTAAAGCAGGCCGACAGTTCAAAAGACTATCACTGCTGTCACGTGGTGTTTTGTGTGGAACAGATGCGCCACAAACATCTGTTGCTTTTGATGAAGCAGTGTTTCTGAAAGTAGTGAAAGTAGTTTTTCGGTCGCACCTGAGTGAGTTCACTATATAGCAAATGCGATTCAACACCAAATCACACTGAATCACTCTTTACATCTCACACTCACTTATACAAAACCTATGCTTGTAATATTCGTCCTGTCTGTTTGTCTTTCTGGTTGTATGGAATAAGGGGTCCTACCGTATCATAATGCATTTAAATGTTAATATTGTTTATACATCTAATGGAAATTACAGTGATCACATTCATTTACATAATAAGCTTTTAGTTCTTAGCAGAGAAAAAATAAACACACTTGTTTAAAAGACTGACAGCGCCATCTAGCGGCAATTTAAATACTCTGCGGATGTTTAGGTGATGTACCCAGAAACTGACCGAAGTAAAGCTGGTTATATGGCTGCATCATTTCATGCTTTTTGTTGGTCATTTTTTCGCTGGAAACTATAAAGCAGCCTGGTAAACCTTGGTACGAACTACATTACCCAAAATGCTCTGCAGACTGACCCGCAGAATCTGCACTGGACTAATTAACTAATTAGCTGACACCTGTAACTCCCAGCGCAGCTGTGTGAGGAGCGGAGTGTGCGGGAGCCTGTGGTGTTTATGCGGTCAGTGTTTATGCGGTCAGTCACCGTCTCTGTAGTTCTGTCGTGTTCTGTTCGCTGAGAAATGTGCTAACTGCTAATGTTACCTCTGCTTCGCCTGGCTGCTGTAGTTTAGTCAGTATCGGAAACATGGACTGAGGTATATTAGCATAGCTAAAACAGTAGCAGCATCTTTAAGGGGAATTCCACCAGTTTTTCAAAGTTTCTGATAAAATGGTTGAGATGTAAACAGAGTGTGATGGGAGATGTGTACATTGACCTGAACCATCGCTTTAATGTCTTCCAGATGCGTCTTTATTGCGTCTCACTGATAGCAGTAACCTTGTTCTGCACTGAGCATCTTAATCTCAGTGAAGCATCTTAATCTGCAGTGTTACAGTAGACTTTATTTCAGGTGATCAGTTGTGCCATTTAAATGTACTGATGTTATAGAATTCTATACAATATAATTTAATAGAAAGATATAAACGATATATGCAGTTTTGCCATTTCTGCCAGTGATCATTTTCCAATTACTTATTGCCAATTATTGCAAACCTGGCTAGAGTTTATCAGCCTTATTTGACCACGTGGTTGACCATTATTCGCAGTAGCCAGGTAAAGGCCTCAGTTAAAGACTGTGATGACTGTTGACCTCAGTGATGCCGAGAAGATACACTTTCCCATCAGGCTGTTCGGGACCGCAATGGCTCTGAAATGAGGGGTGTTTGATGTCGGGCTTCAGGCTGTTGAGTACTGATGAACTGACTGTGGTTCGGTTTTGTAAGAAACCTGTTTGCCGCCCTCTGAATAAACTGAACCACTGAATAACTGAATAAACGCGCCCTGGTCCTCTCTGACCAACCAGAGTGTCTGAGTTCTCAGACTGTAGTGGAGTTACATCTCTCTCTCTGTCTCTCTCTCTGTCTCACTCTCTGTCTCTGTCTCACTCTCTCTCTCTCTCTGTCTCACTCACACTTTCACTCACACTCTTTCTCTCTCACTCTCACACACACACACTCTGTCTCTCTCTCTGTCTGAGTCTCTCTCTGTCACTCTCACTCTCTCTGTCTCTCTCTCTCTCACTCACACTTTCACTCACACTCTTTCTCTCACTGTCTCTCTCTCTCTCTGTCTCACACTCTCTCTGTCTCACTCACACTTTCACTCATTCTTTCTCTCTCACTCTCACACACTCGCTCTCTCACACTGTCTCTTGTTCTCGATCACTCTCTGTCTCTCTCACTCTCTCACACTGTTTCTCTCTCTCTTTCTGAATGTGTAGTGATTTAAAGCACTCAGCAGTACGGGAGCCCTGAAGGGTCATGAGTTTACATGTGTTTCACTCTGTTTTTCTGTGATGTTTTCATTGAAAATCTTGTTATCAATATGATTATCAGATTATCAGGACACAGCGAATGTTAGTCTTTTGAGATCTTTAGATATTTAAGCCAATTTCACACCATAACGACTGGTATCTCGATAGATCAATGTCTGTTGTGTCACGATAAAGACAAGAATAACTCAGGATCTCAAGAAAACGCCAGCAGATAAATAGCAGATGAGGAGTGTGGAGAGGCAACTGAAAGCAGTCACTGCAGAGGAAAAAGGTGAAACGCAGTGCACACCTGGCATCACTGCTCCACAGCGACATACAGAATATGAGCCAACATGAAAAACAAACCCTCAATTACAGTTTTCACTTCACCTCTTTACTGAAAATCAGAACCTGTGTTTGACTGTTTTAACATCGCTTGATCTCTTTTTGTACTTCAAATGTTTTGAAATGCAGCCAAAACAGTGAAATACCAGTTTAAACTGTAACACAGAAAACAGTTACTCAAACAGCCCTGTTTAAAGAGGACAGTGATGTCCGTGGGGTGAAAACATTATTTTGCAGTGTGTTCTGCAGGTCACTGTGGAATTCCTGCTGAGCTCCGAGTTTGAGATGTAAACATGGCACAGCGTTTCCCGATTTTCCACAGCAGTGATGATTTTCCAGTGTGGTGAATGAAAACAAACACAGACCAGTGCAGAGTGAAAGACTCTCAGCTCAGTCATCTCTCATTTCTTCCCATAAGAGCTACTTCCCAGCACTAATCAGTGTTTCCTGTCAAGGAGAATTCCAGTGACTTTTCAAAATTCCTCCATAATTCGGTGTTTGGGATGTAAACATGTCATTGTGGAACATTAATGTCACGTGTGCACTGCATTTCACAGTTTTCCACTGTACACTGTAAAAAAAATGGTTCATCAGTTCAGCCAAAAAATGAGTTTATATGGTAACAAGTGAACTAAACTAGCTTTACTCAACTCAAACGTGCTTTAACTGATTCATTCATTCAGTTTTTTATTTAGGTTGAATAAACTACCCAACTTACGGATCACATGAAGTTTTCTTAGGTTGAACTGAGAAACCATGCCGTGCTGTGTGGCCGTGTCGTGTGGCCGTGTCGTGTGGCCGTGTCGTGTGGCCGTGCTGTGTGGCCGTGCTGTGTGGCCGTGTCGTGTGTGGCCGTGCTGTGTGGCCGTGCTGTGTGGCCGTGTCGTGTGTGGCCGTGCTGTGTGGCCGTGTCGTGTGTGGCCGTGCTGTGTGGCCGTGCTGTGTGGCCGTGTCGTGTGGCCGTGCCGTGTGGCCGTGTCGTGTGTGGCCGTGCTGTGTGGCCGTGTCGTGTGTGGCCGTGCTGTGTGGCCGTGTCGTGTGTGGCCGTGTCGTGTGTGGCCGTGCTGTGTGGCCGTGTCGTGTGTGGCCGTGTCGTGTGTGGCCGTGCTGTGTGGCCGTGCTGTGTGGCCGTGTCGTGTGGCCGTGTCGTGTGTGGCCGTGTCGTGTGGCCGTGTCGTGTGGCCGTGTCGTGTGTGGCCGTGTCGTGTGTGGCCGTGTCGTGTGTGGCCGTGCTGTGTGGCCGTGTCGTGTGTGGCCGTGTCGTGTGTGGCCGTGTCGTGTGTGGCCGTGTCGTGTGGCCGTGTCGTGTGGCCGTGCCGTGTGGCCGTGCCGTGTGGCCGTGTCGTGTGGCCGTGCCGTGTGGCCGTGCCGTGTGGCCGTGTCGTGTGTGGCCGTGCCGTGTGGCCGTGCCGTGTGGCCGTGTCGTGTGTGGCCGTGTCGTGTGTGGCCGTGTCGTGTGTGGCCGTGCTGTGTGGCCGTGCTGTGTGGCCGTGCTGTGTGGCCGTGCTGTGTGGCCGTGCCGTGTGGCCGTGCCGTGTGGCCGTGTCGTGTGTGGCCGTGTCGTGTGGCCGTGTCGTGTGGCCGTGCCGTGTGGCCGTGCCGTGTGGCCGTGTCGTGTGGCCGTGCCGTGTGGCCGTGCCGTGTGGCCGTGTCGTGTGTGGCCGTGCCGTGTGGCCGTGCCGTGTGGCCGTGTCGTGTGTGGCCGTGTCGTGTGTGGCCGTGTCGTGTGTGGCCGTGCTGTGTGGCCGTGCTGTGTGGCCGTGCTGTGTGGCCGTGTCGTGTGTGGCCGTGCTGTGTGGCCGTGTCGTGTGTGGCCGTGTCGTGTGTGGCCGTGCTGTGTGGCCGTGCTGTGTGGCCGTGTCGCGTGTGGCCGTGTTGTGTGGCCGTGTTGTGTGGCCGTGTCGTGTGGCCGTGTTGTGTGTGGCCGTGTCGTGTGTGGCCGTGTCGAATCAGCTGTGTTACAGTACAGATACAATCTCTGAACACAGCTCACTCGTCTCCATGTGCGCCGCTGATGGTGATCTTCCTGTAGCTGCTCAGCGTGACGGCGAAATGATAGATGAGGAGGAGGAAATGATGGGGTAGAGACCAGCCGCGCTCTCCCAGCAGGCGGTGATGGCTCAGCGGGGGGCGCTGTCACAGCATCTGTTCGGACATTTGGACTCCGGCTCCAGCTGAGACCTCAAGTAAACTGTTACGATGCTTTTCAGATGAGCTTTTTCTTCCCCTCTGTGGCCTCCAGCGCCCACCATCACTGACCACGATGGGTCAGTGGAAGCATGAGGGGGGCGTTTCTAATAAAGTGGCCAGTTAGTGGAAGCACAAGGGTGTGTTTCTAATAAAGTGGCCAGTTAGTGGAAGCACAAGGTGGGTGTTTCTAATATAGTGGCCAGTTAGTAGAAGCACAAGGTGGGTGTTTCTAATAAAGTGGCCAGTGGATGCTCAATAATAGACTGCTGTAGGGCCGTCACGATTAAAATCATTAAATAAAATGTATTTTCTCAATGAAGTGGCTTTAAGATTTGTGGACAGAATGATAAACATGGTATTCTAAAGGTCTTTCTACAGCCATTATTAGCAGATTTACAGTTTGGCACAAGGGGGGCGCTATTAGCACACTGTTCACGCCTGAGCGTTACTGAAAGAGAGGAAACCCACACCAGCAGGATCTCACGACTGCATGTTTGTAGTTACAAATTGAAGAAAAGTTTCTGTATCTTTTCACTGAAGTGTTTCGAGAGGTTTAAAAAGTCTGTGCAAAGAGTTTTTCAGTTCAGCGTTTTTATTATAATAAATTAGATGAATGGGCTGTTTAATCATTACATTACTGATATGACAGTGAATCCCGAGACTGCGATACACTGAAAGTCCCTCTGGGTCCTGCAGGGAGAGTAAAGACAGAGCTCAGCTGTAACAGGACTGAGTGGTTTTAATGTCAGAGTTTCAGTGCTTTCAGATGAACCTGATTTAAAAAGGCAAAAGTACAGCCATCGTCCACAAACGATGCCCTGTGGAAGTAAGAGCACGTATTGCTTTACTGCCTGTTTCATTAAAAAAACACAATTAATTTAGAGTTTTTACAGTGTTTACATGTCTGTCTAACATGCATATTAATAACTGGTCAGTCAGTGGCATCACCACATCATACAGACCAGTACAGTGTGAAAGACTCCCAGCTGCTTCGGTCATCTTTCATTTCTTCCTGTATGAGCTACTTCCCAGCACTAATCAGTGTTTCCTCTAAAGGGCAACTCCACTGATTTTTCACAATTCCTGTAATCAGAGTGACTCAGAGTGGTTTGGTGTGAGATGGTTTAGATGTCTTCACAGTGGTGGTGATAGGAACCAGGGGTCGCCATGACTACAACACAAATATAGACATTTTATTTACTATCCAGAACCACCAGTGAACCTACACGAGTCTTCTGAGTTTATATGGAATGTTGATGATGGAAAATAGTGGAAAATCTGAAATAATAAGTTTCTTTGGGGACTATTTTGCCTCACAGCGCCCTGCATGTATCCCTCCACCATGAATGGAGTTTAAGTTCTCTAAACTATCATAAAACAGTGTCTCAGTCATCAGGCAGTGAATTCATAACCATTTCATGTAGGAACTTTCTGTGAGGGAGCTTTTAGAGGTGGACGTCTGGTTCCTATCACCACCACTGTGAACAGTTCTGACTCAGTAAGTTTATCTAGGAACCAAACCGCTCTGAACGACTCTGTTTATGTCTTAATCATTTAAATATGCAGAAATTATGAAAAATCACTGGAATTCCCCTTTACCATGTCCAGTAAGTAGGAACACATCATTTACAAGTGTGTTTTCAGCAAACTCAGCCAGGATTCTACAGTAGATCAGACTTTTAAAGCAGTAGATTGTTTTTCTTTTCCGAAGCGCACAGTCTACTCGACTAACATCACAGCCTGATGTCCCAGAACTCCACACTAACGCAGGGTTTCCAGTGGTGATTCGCTGTTACAGTTTAATCCATGAACAGTCCTAATCCACATCCAGGAAACCAGCTCTGTTACAACAAAGCTGATGCACTTTAATGCATCTAATTAGCTAAAATTAATCAATACTTATGAGGACTGGCTTTTGTGTCTTGGCACTGGCAGCTGCTGAAACTGCGGACGCTGATTACTTCTCTCACACTGCTGCTATTGCTTCACCTCTCAAAGCTACTCAAGGTCTTTTTTTCTGATTGTCTAAGGCTGAAACATCTGCCTGTAAGCGCTACAGAGCACCAGCGCCTTCAGCGCAGGAGTCCTAAAGCGTCTGGACTGCAGTTCACAGGACCTTTTACATGCATTACCTTCTTAAACCCTGTTGGAGCTGAATTACTGTTACCTTAAATACAGTTTAGGTGATTATCCATATGTCACTTCTAATCCAGTATGAATCTGCAGTGTGTGTAGTTTTACAGTAATAATTGTGGAGCGATTTTAATCCAGTATGAATCTGCAGTGTGTGTAGTTTTACAGTAATAATTGTGGAGCGATTTTAATCCAGTATGAATCTGCAGTGTGTAGTTATTGTTTTTGAATGCTGTGTGTGGAATAACGCTAAACATCCACACTATGAATTTTCAGTATAGTCTATTTGTGGGAATTTCACAAAATTACACAGATTCTTCATCCCAAACTAATCTGCCAATGACGTCTCAGGTATTTTCCTCCTCTGGGCTCCGTTTGTGCTGTACTGCACATCAAACTTCAGTCTATCCAGTAAAATAACCGTCAGGTTCTGCAGGGTCGTTTCACATTTTTGGACCTGACAGTGAGTAAAGCGTCCGTGGCTCATCATGGTTTTCTCTCTGTAGTCTGCGAGGCCCCCTTGTGGCCGTGCACTGTAATTGCGAAAGGGGGCGCAGCGTCCATCTTCTTTCATTAGTGATTTATTCACAGCTACACCTTCGGCTCCAGCCTGTGAGAGAGTTCAAACAGAGTCTGCTGATTGTCGATGATGTGGAGATAGTTGATGTAGGCTCTGACCTCTGCACTGTCCTTCTGCGTCAACAGGTTTCCTTTGAAGAAGAAAAAAAAACAGTTTAACCCCTTAAAAAGCATATTTGATGGCTTAAGGGCGGTGTTGGGTCTCGCCCTCCCCTTCGACCCTCATTGATCAACAGCAGTTCAACATTTCACACTCAGAGAGACGTCAGAGTCCAAGTTCATCTGATAACAGAGTAATATTTTAATAAATAAAATGAGTCGATTTCCATTCCGTGATTCCATTCCGTTGCAGTTTGTCACAGTAAGCTTTTCTCGGCGCGTCTCGGACACAGTCAGCATTAAAACACTGCGTGTCTGAGTAAAGGAGCCTGTTGGTCTGTTTAATTAGATGTACTGCAGCTCAGTGTGTGACATGATGAATACAAAAGGACTGGATTCATAGTTTTTGATGGTATTTTTAAAATGTGGGCTGACTTTGTCTGTTCTAACTCATCAGATGTCAGAAAACAAATATGACACGTCATGCATCATAAAAGCCTTCCTGAAGTATCGTGATGTGACACTGTGCGTATCGCCCAGCTCTGTGTTGTATAATGTACTGTAGATAAACTTTAGTAGACTGAACTGCTGTACAGTAAAGCTGCACCATGAATCCCATAAATCATTAGAGCGGCAAAGACAGAACAGATCTAATCACCTCATACACAGCATCACAGAGGGGTCCTTCAAAATAAGAGTCCAGGACCAAATAAGAACACGGTGCTGAACTACACCCAACCAAACGCACAAACGTTATTTTTAAACTAAAAAGAAACGTGTGTGTACATATGTGTATGTATATATATATACACACACATACAGTGTGTGTTTGTATTTTTACATAGATTTCTACATGTATAAAAAAATATTTTGCCGCAGATCATTACAGCCATGATGTTATTCATGATAAAACCGTGAGTGTTCTGTTGCTTTTATACAACGGTTTTTACAAAATAAAGAAAATAAATCAAAGAAGCGCTGGTTGTTTTATTTTAACCTAAAAATCTAGTTCTGCTGTGGAGCCGCAACAGGACCGTAAAAGAGTCGCGCTGCCGACACCTGCTGCATTATTTTGGCTGAGATTGTCAGTATTAAAGCTTATTCTGTATGAATTTCAGGGCTTCTCTGATTTAATTTGTTTCTTTATTTTGTAAAAACTGTTGTATAAAAGCAGTGCGATATTCGAGGTCGTGTGTTATCGAATAAAATCAATGCACATTTTGGTTAAAAATCACGTTCATGCTTTTGTTTGGGTGTAGTTCAGCACTGTGTCCATAGTTGGTCCAGGACTCTTATTTTGAAGGACTTTGTAATGGTGTCTTTCAGGCACGAGTATATGTATGTATTTATTTGGTTCTGTAGCCTCTATAGAAAAAGCTGTTGGTGATGCTGTTTCTCAGCCCCTCAGTGCACAGAAATGTGCTCTCAGTTCTGATGTAGGTTTCAGTATTTAATGTTATTTATGAATAAATGGTGCTTTTGTAATTGTGTATTTTGCTATTTGTTTAAAGAGGAGTTTAAAGAGAGGTTAGTGAGATTTATAAAGTCTGCACTGTTACATCCAGCCAGAGACGTTATTTTAATAGCAATTTATCGCCTCTCATATCGTCATCATGATATCGGACAGATTTATCGAACATCCCAGTTTATGTCCGTATGGTGCAGCCCTGCCACACTGTATCTTATTCAAGCCCTGTTACTGTAATCAGCATTAGAGACTCACCCATGTGGTCTGTCTGACAGTGCCTGACGATCCGCACCATGTCTGCTATCATACGCTGGAAGACGGAGTTTATATCAGTGTCACGTAAATCCTGCATCATAACAGATCAGTGACTATGGATGGATGTAACTCATCAACTCACCAGCTTTTCAAAGTTGAGCAGGTTATCAAGAAAGGTTTTGTTCCCCTCGTGGATGAACGTGATGTCTATGAAGAAAGAGCTTGTTTAGTGATGTAAGCGACAGTAAGATCTAAGAGCTGTTCCTGAGTACCTGCAGCTTTTCCCTTAATGGATCATCAAAATCTAACCTCACTCTGACAGTTCAGCCTCTCACTGACCAAAACCTTAATACAGGACTCTAATGTGAAACGACGGCTTTCGCTATGAAATAAAGGTGTTTGTTTTCTGGCAGCACCTTTCAGCAGCAGAGGTAGGAAAGGGATCTTAGGAGACTTCATCTTCCTGAAGGCATCTCTGTAGGCTTTGTGGTTGAAGGACGGGTCCTGAAAATACGACAGCATGTTTGTCTTGATACGATCATCATATATATCTGCTCTGAGTTCAACATAGGGAACGTGTTGAAGTTCCTGTCTGTGGGTCGTACAGACAGAGATCAGGAGCCGTATTACAGAAACACCTTAACTCTGAAATCTGATCTGCTTGGTCTCCATGACGACTGAATTTAGGACAGCATCTACTCCAGAGTAACAGTTCCTACCTTCATAATCTCATCATGAACTCCAGATAAGAAAACAGCATCACACAAACATCCTAACTAGACTGAACCTCCTAAATCCTGTCCTAACTTTAGGATGGACCCCAACAGGGTCCTCACTTCTGTTTAAGGTCCGTTTCTATGGTTTTTAGGCAGCTGAGTCAGCAGCATAGTTCACTACCAGCATAATGAGCTCCATTTATTCCTACTGTAAAACGCTGCTTTCACTGTGAGATGATTTTCTTTTCTAACTCTGCGTTTTAAAGATCTCAGACGCTGCAGACTCGATCTCCACCGCCCCTCTGATCACCTTCGTGTGTTAATGTTGATGATGAAATATTACAGCGATGGTGGTGAATAATGAGGAGACGGAGCTGAACATGCATTTGGGAAATGGAGACTGAAACTGGGGAGCGGCGACGCTGATAAACAGCAGGGGGCGCTCTCACAGTATTCACTACTCACAGTTTATCACACTTTAGTTCTGTTTGACCTTTTTTACATCAGTAACAGCAGCTCAACTCACATTTTAACATTATTTTGATGGGTTTACGTTTCAGCTGTGTGTTTATGGTCGGTTGCTAGGAAACAGACATTACAGCTGATAACCTGCTCGATCAGAGTCGACAAAGATTTCCTAACTGGATGCTGTAGGATAAGATTCCTATATTAAGCTTCTGTAATATGAATTAGTGAATAATCTTATCTTGATCTGTCAGATCTGAACTCAGGACTAACGAGAGGAAGGTTCTGTAATGCGGCTCCAGGTTAAAAAGACACTGGACTTTTCCTTTTACAGATTTCAGAAAGTTACTTACCGTCAAGCTTTCAAGCTCTGAGAACAACTTTTTGAACCTCCCTGGAACTTTCTAAAAGGAGAGAGGGAGCAGAAACGAGTGGGGATCCTAAATCTGTCTCAGATGTGTGAAAAATGATTTTCTGGATATTCTGGAACTACATATTCACTCACCTCCCACGTCTGGCTCAGTCGGCTCACGGCGGCCGTGTTCAAACCCATTATGATGGCAAAGAAGGAGTTCAGGTTCCTCTGTGCTTTACAACTGAGAGAGAGAGAGAGAGAGAGAGAGAGAGGAGAGAGAGAGAGACACACAGAGAGAGAGATCAGCAATAATCAAATAAATGTACCAAAAAGGGTTCTTTGGCTTATAACAATAATGGAACCCTTTCTGGTTCTATATAGAACCATCTACAGCACATTCTCCATCAATCTGAAGAACCATTTCACCATGCAAAGAACCCTTTAATCATCAAGAGGCTTCTTTGAGTGTTCATGGCTCTATGTAGAACCGTTTTCTTTACTGAAGAACCCTTAAAGAACGCTCTTTAAGAGTGTAGCTTCAGAAGTCGAACAGGTTTTCCTATTTAAACTAACAGACTTAATTACAAAGTGGAAAAATCACGTTCAGCTGGATAAACAGTGTCAATCATCTTCATAGAAAATGAAAAACGCTTTATTAAATCTTCAGCCCACTTAAGTTTGGAGTCAATGTTATTTTTTTGTAAATAGATAATTATATTATAGAATTTACAGTATAGAGCAGCTAAAAACCTTAGAATTCAAATAAAAATAATGTGGGACAATAAACTGTTGCGTTGAGTTCAGCACTGTGAGTTTATGGTTTATGTTCAGTTATAAATGAACTGTTTTGAATTGAAAATATTTAAATATTCAGGACATTAAGACATTAAAGAGCCCCAAACTTCTAACATAAAACCACAAAACGGTCATCATTCATTCCTACATGACTGTTTTCCAACTTCTCTATCACTTAAACAGTTACTGTGCCTTTAAGACATACATGTAAATGAGCTCTGTTCTGATTGGCTGTGCCTCTTTCAGAAAGTCTGGGACTATTAATCGGTTTTAACTACTATATCTTGGTTTTATTTATTTTATTGTTTCTTTTCTCATTTTTCTCATAGAGTTTTCAAATGTACTAAAAATAAAGATTAAAAAAAGACTCTGAACACGTCTCCCGCTGATAGATATTCGGGCTGAGAGGGAACAATAATTTGATTATTTACACAAATATTCCTTTAAAATTGGTATTGATGACTGAATTTTCATAATGGTGAACATCCAGATGTCTGTACACTGTAAAAATGACTGAGCAAGTGAAACCAGCTTATAGATAATATAGCTAATATTTCTCATGATGATGCTGTAAGACGCTGATTACTGTTATTATTATTAGCAGTATTAGTGTTAGTATTATTAGTATTATTACACTTATTTCTAGATATTCTTTTTATGTTTTAGTGAAAGTGGCTGATCATTTCCTTGTTTTGAGAAATAGTGAAGATATTTTATCTTTTATTAATTAATATTTAATTTTATTAATTAAATAATCTGCCAATATTTAAGAGTGTCCAGAAAGGAGTGAAATAATCTAACTATAACAGTATAATAATGAGAATTATTAGATATGTTGACTAAATTTCAGATGTTTTCATGTTTTCAAGATCTTATTTTTTAGTGTTGACCTTCGCACTGCGAAACATGAGTGAGCAAGTCAAAACATTGAGACAGTAAAAATATTGTTTCACTTATTTCTAGGAAATTTTGTTTTAATTATTATTCCATGAAATAAGCAAAATTATCTTCATTACTTCTCAAAACAAGTAAAGTGGTCAGAAACAGGATGGTCTTATAATGATCTCATACCCGTCTCCTAATGATAAGTGTAGCCCTGCTGACTGTGTGAGACGCTGTCAGTGCTGAGGTGTCGTTTTCTGCCGTGTGAGTTCTTTGTGGAGAGCTACTCACTGAGCCGCGATCTTGATGAACTTCTTAAAGAGCTGCACGCGTTTGCAGAGCTCCGGACACAGCAGCACCTCGGTCATCACCCACTGCTGCACCTCGTTACAGCGCTGCAGCAGCAGCTCCAGCGCCACCGTGTGGCCAGCACACGAATCACGACTCAGCGAGAAATAAACCAGCTCTTTCTGAAAGAACAGAGAGGAAACGTTCAGTACGCTCAGAGTTCACGGCCCACGTCCGAGTCCCCTTCACCCCCCCCCAGTACCTCCTGCAGGCTGCTGAACAGACTCCAGTCGCAGTTGGTCAGCGCCACAGCGACGTCCCACGTGTTCATACTCAGCATCCTGACCGGCTGCTGCTGCAGCTGACCGTTATCGGTCACTGGGCTCTGAATCGAAGCAGAATTTACAGTTACACAGTCACTGGAGGAGAAATGCAGAAGTGATGCTAACCAATCAGCTCTCAGTAGCAGTAATGCCAACCAATCAGCTCTCAGTAGCAGTAATGCTAACCAATCAGCTCTCAGTAGCAGTAATGCCAACCAATCAGCACTCAGCAGCAGTAATGCTAACCAATCAGCTCTCAGTAGCAGTCATGCTAGCGTCCTGCTGCCCAGAAGCTGTGTGCAGTGGAAAAATGGAACAGTGCTGTTGATCGTCATTAAATTTATGTAATAAATTCTTCTGCTTTTTAAAATTAAAGAAAATTCCTGAAACACTAGAAATTTAATAAACATTTTTAGCCGTTTAGCTCCATTCACTCCCATTCATTGAGGACTCTCTCTGGCGCCCTCCAGTGTTTTGTTATAACTTCTTTGATGGACTGACCACCCCAGAGTCCAGACCTCAACACCACTGAATGTGTTTGATTACTTCAGAAAATCATCAACCAGCTTCTAAGACTGAACTTTGGAGGTGTGTCTGCAGATTCTTTGAGGAACTAAGAGTGAGTCTCCTGAACAGAACGGAAGCTGGAATAAAGGGAGAGAGTGACTCACTGACTCACTGACTCACTCCGCTGAGAGTAGAGCTGCTGAGGCTTCTGTGTGATTTTCTGTTAAACACCTGAAAACTGACTAACTTGTGTTTAATGGCTGTTCTGACTGAAAGTGAAACGAATGAAGGTCTGTTTTCTCACCATGAGCTCAGTCTGGTCTCTCCTGCACACACACAGTCTGCCTGCAGCGCTGAGGGAGTCGGCAAACACACACTGCTGCAGCGGCAGCACCACCTTCTCTGGAGGGAGAGGGAGAAAGAAGAGGGGGAGAGAATGAATGAATGAATGTGGCACAGGAGGAAGAATCATGCAGAGAAATGCCTCAGTGCTGTCAGTAGAGGGCAGCAAAGGACAGTGTTTCACACGGGCAGCACTCGAGAAGGGTCTGCACTCTCAGCCTGACGAGCAGCACCAGCCCTGTAATGACGTCAGTGCCGCTCTGACACCACTGAGTTCTGTCGATTTGATAAGCAAAAACAGTGAATCACGAACTGCTGGGCTGCACTGGATACAGATTTATGGATTTTAGCCCTGTCAGACTGATCATAATGAAATTAAACAATGGTAATTTACTCCACTGCATGTGCTGAGAGGGGCTGAGAGTGAACACTAAATAAAAATTAATAATAAAACGTGCCTTTTTTGCTAAATTCAGAATATAAAAAGTGATTTGTATTGAATGTACAGTAGTGCGCCTCTGTACAGGATGTGGAATTAGACGTCCAGACTTCTGCACACTACTGTATATAATCACCACATTCTGACACGGACACAGCGCACCACAGTGAAACCACCACAGTTATTTAAGGTTTAATACACTGCGCCGCAGATGAGAGACCAATAATGCTCACTAATATTGTAGACTGGTATCACTAATATCATAGACTACTGTCACTAATATCACAGACTGGTACCGCTAATATCACAGACTAGTATCACTTATAGACTGGCATCACTAATATTGTAGACTGGTATTACTAATATTGCAGACTGGCATCTCTAATATCGCAGACTGGTATCACATATTGTAGACTGGTATCACTAATATCATAGACTGGTACCTCTGGAGTAGGTGAGGGCCACCAGCACCATGTCTTCCTCCACCCACTCTAATCTCTCAGCCACAGCAGCCAGCAGCTCCTGAACCGTCACCGCCGCGTGAGTCCTGACGCTCACATACGAGTCCACCGTCACGTACACACGGCAGAGCACTGACCACACCCACCCACACACACACCACAGCTCATCAGTACACAAAACAGAGCATACAATCAGCACTCAGTAGCAGTGTTGACAGCCAATCAGCAGTCAGTACTGATCAGCTCACAGATCGAGGAGAGTGATCCTGTTCTATCATACTGTACTGCACTGTATTGAATTGTAAAGCAGTGTTTTGTATAGTATTGTATCATATCCAGTTGTGTTGTGTCGCACCACATCATATAGGATTTTACACAGCGTAGTGTACTGAATCAGACTGTACTGATGTGTATCATACTGTACCAAACTGTATTGCAGCATATGGTACTGTGACGTACAGTACAGCAGTGTATCATACTGTATCACACTGTAATGCAGCACACTAATTTATCGCAGTGTGTTGTATTGCAGTGTGTCAGTGTATCGGTGTATCGTGCTGTATTGTGATTAGCACGTTAGCTTGTGGTTGGAGTGTTAGATCAGGACACTACACAGCACTGCTGTCATTTCTTCTGTAATGCTGAACACTAATAAACTGAAAAGCAGACATCAACATACTGTGTCAAATGGAGATCAAATCAAATTCTGAATTTTGTGAACTTCTACACCCAGAAAAAGGCCGTGGACTGAACTCCGCACTGCGTTACCGTGTTTGGTGAGAAGAATAATAAAGCGTGACTCGTTCTAAAGCTCTGTTATTGTCTGTACACAGACCTCAGTGTTTCCTGCGGAACGTCCCTTTGTTCCCAGCGGCCTCTCTGCGCTCCCAGAGGACGACGCGAGCCAGAGGAAACGCGTGGAGCCGAGAAATGAGAGGGAATATTTTATGAGCCTACCTTCCTTGTTGTCCCTGTGGGGCGCTCTCACGGGCTGCCAGCTCTCTTTCAGGCTCAGCTGGTGGAAGAGTGCTTTATTCTGGAAAAGGGGGGGAAACAGCATTGAGACACTGAGAAAACCGGAGTTTGTGAAAATACAGCGCAAAGATCTCAGAGGCCACTTTAATAGAGTTTAGACTCAGACTAGGTCTGAGCTGGAGGTTAAAGGAGAACTCTAGTCTTTACACCCTGATCTCTGTCTGCAGCTTCACTGACTCTGAATTTGAGCGTCTGTTTTCACACAGACAGCATAACTTCATAATCAGTTTATTTTCAGGGACCACCAGATTTTTGATTTTAAGACATTCAGGGGGTCAATGAGGTTAATTAGGGGGTCCCGGACTCCCCCAAGATCCCCTGTATTTCACACCTTAATCTATTGTAATTTTTTGACGAATCTGTGAACAAAAAATGTCCAAAAATTGGCCTGTTGTGAATGTATATGTATTATATGTAGTTCTGATTGTGTACTTTGGGGGTCTTGGCTGTAACAGTGTGTTAAACTAACCCCCCCGTGTGGAGGCTGTACTTTAGCCTGTCTCACTTTCACTGTGAGCTGTTTATCTGCGTCTAAACGCTGCTATATTACACACACCAAGAGGAGATTACAGTAATATGAGTACAGGAGTGAATTCTGTACAGCTCACTGATCACAAACACTCAGGATGATCAAGTCCTCAGGGTGGATCTGTCCATTTACTCTGAACAGTCACTCTGATGGTCTTTATGATGTTCTCTATGATGTTGCTACGTAGAATCGAGAAGATGACCAGAAGTGTGTTCCAGCAGAATCTCTTTTCTAGTAACTGGAATGTTCAATCATTGGTTTAATAGAATAAGTATAATTTAGGTAAAGCAAAAGGATTTTAGTCTAAATCCAAGTCAGTCAGAAGTCCATTTTACTCCATGTTCCTTTGAGCCTAATTTTCCCTCATTAAGATGATCAGGTCTTCTCCAAATTCAGAGCTCAATAACCGCAGCGCTCCTAAATCCACATTCAGAGCCACTCAGAACAGAATCAGGGTTTAACCTGCGTCTGTAACCAGACACAGAGGGCTTCACCTGGATCTCCTCCTAACTGAGAGACACAGTGTTCAGTCAGGGAGGAGATACTGAGCTGATTTAGAGGAGCTGCAGTTTGGATCGTCCAGAGTCTGCAGTGTTAAACCCCTCAGTGTCTGAGCTGAACAGAGAAAAACCTCAGATTAACCCTCACCTTCCTCTGAGGAGAGAACTCATCCACCGTGCTGAGAGAGAGACAGACAGACAGACAGACAGACAGACAGAGAGAGAGAGAGAGATTTACACATCAGGACTTTATACAGTCTGAAATAAAACAAATAACAAATAAAATAGTATTAAAGCTCATTAAATCAATAAAACTGATTTAAAATACAACTAAAATAATACAATTATAATAAAACTAATAAAACAAAATAAGCAACAATATTAAATATAATGAAACTATAAATAAACAAACCTAAAAAACTTAAATTATAAAACTGAAGTAATGTCCAAATTTGAATCAGAGTTTTTTATTAGTCACTTTAAACACTGTTCAAAAGTTTGGAATCAATGTTTTCAGTAATTTTAAAACAATCTGGTTGCAGATAAATAAATATAAAATATAAATAAATAAATATAAAATAATTCTAATCTGTTCTTCCTGAACAACTTCACAGCTTTCGATCAGTATGAAGCTGTAAATAAAAATGCAGAAATGTTTAACGAGGATTATTATTATTATTATTATTACTAAATTTAACTTCCTGAACAAAACATCCAAAAACAATCCTTTTGGCGTATAATCTGTAATGTTTATTGTACACTGTTACAAAAGATTTTTTTGCCTTTAGTGAAGGAAATGGTTCTATTTAGAGCAATGAGTTCTATATAGAACCATTTGCATGTTTAAATGGTTCTCTGCATAGTGAAATGGTTCTCTGCATGGTGAAATGGTTCTTCAGATTGATGGAGAATGTGTTGTATATGTTTCTATACAACATCAAATCAGAACCATTTTTGGTGTTAACATAGGACCATTTTCCAAAGGGTTCTATATAGAACCATGTACAACACATTCTCCATCAATCTAAAAACCCAGTTTCACCACGCAGAGAACCATTTTAACATGCAAATGGTTCTTTGAGTGTCTTTACTAAAGAGGAATGTATATAAAATAAAAAAGGTTAAAATGGCTTCCATATTAAAGTGATTCCAAACTTTTGAACGACACTGTATAAAGAATAAGAGCCTCACAATAAGAAACACAGTATAATTAAGTATTTTAACATCTTTGCCTTCACACTGAACTGCTATGGAAACTTCTACTGTTCCATTTAAAAAGCTGTGTAATGTTCATATGATCCACACAGTCACTCTGACAGACTGCAATACGCTACAGGAAGTGTAGGGGGCGATGTGGCTTCTACTGTTTCATTTAAAAGGTGCCATGTTAGCTTGTTGGGGTGAATCCAGTTGAGTTTCAGGTTTGACCGTTTGTTTTTCTTTAATATTATAAATATGTGATTCGTTATAATTGAGTCATTAATGTGTTTGATCAGATTCCACAGTCCAGGATGTTGGAATGTCAAAGGCTCTAAAACAGACGTGTGTGAACTTGACCGTCTGACGCTCGTCCAGCTGTAGAGGATGTTTGGGGGTTGAATGAGGACAGTCTGGCAGCCTGACTCAGACAGCTTCACCACACTGCCCCATTAAAATACAGAGCACAGAGCTTTTCACTCTCTTCGGTTTCGACTCTCGCGATCTGAATGAATCCGTGTTCTCCGACTGCGTCTCCCAGACGACCCACGCGGAGAAGATTCCAGAGTCATTCATATTTTAAAGCATTTAAAAGTTTAAAAATACTCCTCAGGACAAAAACACTGGCTTCCTGTTCCTCATGAATAGATCATGTATTCAGGTCAGAGGTCACCAAGATGGCTGCCTAAACTGTGAGCGGCCAGATTTTCTCTGTCGTCCTTTTAAATCACATTTATTATTCTTTAACTGTCGATACTGTAGCCTGGCAACGAAACATTAAACCGGCCGCAGAGTTTTTAAAGTCAGGTTTAAGGAAGTGCAGAGAGGCCATGAGGTAGTTATAATTTTCTGGATTGTTATCTTGAGATAACAAGTTAATTATCTTGTGATCTCAAGATAACAATCCAGAAAAATAAAACTACCTCACAGCCTCTCTGGACTTGCGTAGGTTCTGACCCTCACGCTGAGGACAGTATAATCTGTCCGACTCTACAGCGTCGGGCCTCGTTCAGCAGCCGCTCTTAATGAGAGATTTCTTCTTAAACCCACTTTCACAGTTCTGACGAAGACTCTGACTCACCAACGTTCTCTAATGTGGGGTTTGTTCTCAGGTAAGAACAGAATCTACACACACTTAAGAGCACAAAGGTGAGAACAGTTCTGCGCTTTAAGAACACGACATGAATCTGACGCAGACTTTTTCTTAGGACCTTTATCAAGAACACACTTAAGAACAGGATGATACTGGAGAACGAGGTCCAGAGTTTTTATACCCCTGCAGTCATCAGCCGTTCACACTGACCATCACATCGGGCCAAAACGAAAACAAACGCAGCTGCAGTTTAATCGCTCTGAAAGCATTTTTCATCTTTGTGACTGTATTATTTAAATATTCATATATCCCTCACTGGCGCTGCTGTGTGCTCTGAGCTGAAGGCGTGTGTGGTAACAGGCCTCCACTGTGTGGTGAACACGCGTGTCTGAACAGCCACGGATGAGTGACCCCCTCATTCAGACGCAGATGACCGACAGGACGCGTCTTTAATGTCAGATTTATTTCTGTCTGCGTCTGAGAGGCTCTGGCAGCACTTACTGTCTGCGCTGCATCCGCAGAAGTTTCTGGAGCTCCTTCAGCTCCGTCTCCAGAGGGGGGAACTCGTACAGGTCATCCAGGACGTACCGGTACAGCGTCTGCAGAGAGACAGACACCGTCCACACTGAGGACATGACTGACGCTAGTGGAGCAGCAATATTAGACAAGTTCTATTAACAAATATTAACCAGGTTTTGTGTAGATATGAAAAGTTTACCAACTACTAATACAATCATATATGAATTATGGTTGTTTTTGGTAAATAAAACCACAAAAAGAGAAAATAAGTGGAGAAAATAAGACAAATATAGGAGCTAAACTGTTGTAGGCTGAATGGGCGGGGCTAAACTGCTGTAGGCTGAATGGGCGGGGCCAAACTGCTGTAGGCAGAATGGGCGGGGCTAAACTGCTGTAGGCAGAATGGGCGGGGCCAAACTGCTGTAGGCAGAATGGGCGGGGCTAAACTGCTGTAGGCTGAATGGGCGGGGCTAAACTGCTGTAGGCTGAATGGTGGAGCTAAACTGCTGCGGGCTGAGTGGGAGGGGCTATATTATCAGTCAGGCCCCGTCTGAGTCTCTGAGCAGCACAGCTGATTTTCTGTTATGAATCTAAGATCTAAAATCCGAGTCTGAAGGCGTTTCCACATCGTCTCACCTCGTTAGGCGGCTCTGCCTCATTATCTGATTAAGATTCGAGCTGCAGGGCTCTGACATTTCCATATTTCCTGATTAATCACTTTACGACTTCATCTCGGACTCCGTCTCCCTCCGGCTTTACCTTCATGAAGAGTTTGGTGGGCTCATCCTCCTGCAGCGTGTTCCTGCTCAGAGAGCTCCAGTGGGACAGCAGGCGCAGGACCTTACGCTTCCTCTCCAGAGGCTCCTCCCCTCCCTCCTTCTCCCTCCCTCGCTTCAGACAGTAGGTGGACACGGGGCAGTTAAGGCAGCAAAGCAGAGCGACGTCACAGCGTCTGCAGTTACATTTTATTGTATCCTAATTGCGTAATACCGTTATATGTACTCCGTTACTACTGAACCCATATATATTAGGTATGTTTTTACTGTATAGTATTTTATGCAATGTATTTTCTTATTCCATTTTATTATTTTTACCCTACTTGTTTGTATTCTAGGGCTGAACGATTTGGGGAAAATAGAAAATGTCTAATTGCGATTTTTCCAACTAATATTGGAACTACAATTTAAATTGCGATTATTTTTTATAAACTGAGATTCAGGCCTGATTTTTTTTGGCAAGAAGACCAGAATATCCACCTTTTCTGGCCTGAGGTTTGACCCCTGAATGATCAAACCGCCAGTAAGTCGTGGTTGTGATGTCACAACACATGAAGGTTTGGTTTTCTCTGATTGGTCAAACTCATCTACAGGCATCTCACAAACTCTGAGTTCGATTTTACGTTCTTAATAATGTTCACACTTAAAAAAAGATGGTTCTTCACGGGTTCTTCAGAAAAGGTAATAGTTCTGTATAGAAACATGAATACTCAAAGAACCCTTTGCATGATTAAATGGTTCTCTGCATGGTGAAATGGTTCTTCAGATTGATGGAGAATGTGTTGGTTCTATAAAGCAAAACCAAAAGTTCTTCTATTGTTACAAGCTTGACATTGTAACAGCAGCAGAACCCTTTTAGGTGCTATATAGAACAATATATATACAACACATTATCTATCAACCTAAAGAACCGTTTAATCATGCACTTTCTGAAGAACCCTTGAAGAACCATCTTTTTTTAAGAGTGAAGGCTGAATGTAAAAAATTACAGCTGTTGCGATTTAAACTGTGATTTAAACTGTGATTTAAACTGTGATTTAAACTGTGATTTCGATATAAAGATGATTAATATTTCAGTCCTGGTGTTTTGTGTGTTTGTCTTGTTTAAATGCTGCTGGAACTCTAGTTTCCCTCTGGGGATGAATGAAGTGTCGTCTCTGTCTCTGATCTCTGTTTTGGAGATATGAGGGTTTGTTCTGACAGCGCCAGTATAAGAAAAGCAGTTTCCTGTGTGTGTGTGTGTGTGTGTGTGTGTGTGTGTGTGTGTGTGTGTACTGGGTGGTCACTGAAGGATATTGTCCGAGGAGCGCCTGGCAAAGATCATTGGTGGACATGAACATCGGATACGTCAGCAGAAAGTCGTCCAGCAGGCTGTCTGAAGGAGAAAAAACAAGAGAACATTAATATTTATCAACTGAAATCTGATGAACAGGAAACACAAGTGTGTATAAACACAGATCACCTTCACCGGCCAAAACTTTTCATGCATATACACCATCTGTCAGACCTTCGGAGTGAATTCAGCTACTGTAAGGTTGCCTGGTACAGCTTTAATCTCCATAGAAAAGCTCTGACCAGTAGAATAAGACGCTCTGGAGCAGCTGCACATGATCCTGAGGTCTCCATGCCCAATGCCAAGCGTGGGCTAGAGGGGTATAAAGCCCCCCAGCATTGGGCTGTGGAGCAGTGGAACTGTGTTCTCTGGAGTGATGGAGCTCCATCCAATACCTTTGGGATGAGTTAGAGTGACCCAGAACTGACCATCCAACACCAGTACATGACCTCAATAATGCTCAATCAAATCCACACAGCAATGTTCAACATCTATAAGCCTTCCAGAAGAGTAGAGGCTGTTACTGCAGCACAGACTCACTATTAACCTACCTTCATTACAGCAGAAGCTCTGCGGATCAGCAGTAATGAACGCTGTACAGATTCACACTGTTATTAATAATTAAACAGTTAACCAGATAAAAGCGAGTGGGTCTCGTTTTCCTCGCTCTCTTCGTCTGATTGCAGCCTATTGCACTATAATATACATCAAAGGCCGGCGTGTCTGTGAGATTAAACACTGATGTCCTTCAGAGTGGTTTGGTGTGAAATGGTTCAGATGTCTTTACAGTGGTGGTGATAGGAACCAGGGGTCGCCATGACTACAACACAGATATAGACATTTTATTTACTATCCAGAACCACCAGTGAACCTACACGAGTCTTCTGGGTTTATATGGAATGTTGATGATGGAAAATAGTGGAAAATCTGAAATAATAAGTTTTCTTTGGGGACTATTTTGCCTCACAGCGCCCTGCATGTATCCCTCCACCATGAATGGCCAAAATGTTCTCAAAACTATCGTAAAACACTGAGTGTGTTATTTGATTATCTGATTATGTGCGTCTCTCACACTCGAGCTTTAATCTCTCAGCGTCAGACGCTGCTGAATTCAGTAAATATCTCAGCCGTTCACTCTATCAGTTTCAGCCAAGAAGCTGCGGAGCCTCTCGGCTTGTAGTCCGAGACCTCGGCGTCGCCTGAAGCAGCCGGCCGAGCGAGGAGCGCCGTAGGCGGAGCACACGGAGAGCCGGCTAGTCTCCATGCTGGCTAATGGCTTACAGCTAACCCTAAGAGACTGGCTTTTCCTTCCACTCTCTTTTCCTCATTAACTCATTACAGTCTGATGTTGCTCCTTTGACCATAAACTGGACTAAGTGACCTCCTGCCACCACTACACAAGAGGTGAGGGACTCAGTGACTTCTGACTTGTTTGTGCGTCTCGTCATTTGCATTTGTTTGCATATCAGTATAACAGTAATGACAAAACCAATACCTTAAAAACTATAAACGAGATGTATTACAATATTTCGTTTTTCAGAAGTTTGTAAAGCTAGAATGGACAAAATAAACCAAAAAAAAACAAATGAACAAACCACTCTGAACGACCCTTTTTAAATCTCAACCGTTTAAAGCTGCACTCTGTAAGATTTGTTTAAAACTGAAAAAAAAATCATTAAACATTATTATAATTAAAACTGAAATACTAATTATTTCAAAATGCACCACTCTCTCCTCAGACTATACAGTTATTAAATTCATGCTTATTTATCGTATAGCAGTTTAGCCCCGCCCACTCTTGCTGAAGTTTGCTTTTCTGAATGAGGCACAGCCAATCAGAACAGAGCTTACTGTCTTAAAGGCACAATTAATTCAGCTCTGAACTGTAAACTCTTAACTATCACTGCAGTCTACTGAGTGACTTCACTGGAAGAGGGATTTAATGCGTATAATTATCCTCAGATTTAAAGTACAGCCGACATTAAAGCCGTGAGCAGAACTCATTTACAGAGCTGATCCAGAGCGTCTTTACACAGCCTTTACCGACGGCCTTCACCGCGCTGACCTCTCGCTCTACATCATCAGTGGGGTACTGACTCGGCCTCCAGCTCAGATTAGACCTCGCATTAATTCACTCCTCCACGTTCAGCTGAACGCTCCGTCTATCAGTGCGGTCAGAGAGCCGATGAGGTCACAGCTCTGCGCTGAGTTCGTTTGGAGTCCGAAATTTGCTTCTTCAGCTTTGGATTAAAGCTCCACGGTTAATACAGCTAACAACAGCAGGACTAGCACTGCGCTAAGATTCGGTTAGTACTGAGACTATAGAATATTTATATAACGGATTAATCCAATCATTTCCATTAATCGCTCGTCAGTTACTATTGTGTTTCAGGGGATTGCTATGGTTGCTATGTGGTTGCAATTGTATCTCTGGTGGTTGCTATGGTATCTCTGGTGGTGACTAGTGTTTTGCTAGGTGGTTGCTATGGTACCTCTGGTGGTTGCTAGTGCGTTACTATGTGGTTGCTATTGTATCTCTGGTGGTTGCTAGTGTGTTGCTAGGTGGTTGCTATGGTGTTGCTAGGTGATCAAAGTGGTTGCAATGGTGTTGTTACATGGTTGTTATGGTATCCCAGCTAGTTGCCAGGGTGCTGCTAAGCAGTTGCTATGATATCTTGGGTGGTTGCTAGGGTGTTGCTGTGGTGTTCCTGGTGGTTGCTAAGTGATTGCTATGGTGTTCAAAGTGGTTGCCATGGTGCATGGTTGTTATGGTATCCCAGCTGGTTGCTAGGGTGTTGCTAAGCAGTTGCTATGGTATTCTAAGTGGTTCCTAGGCTGTTGTTTGGTGGTTGTCTTGGTGTTGCAGGTGGTTGCCAGGGTGTTGCTAGGTTTTTGCTATGGTATCCAAGTTGTTTGCCATAGTGTTGCTAGTGTACTTCTAAGATGGTGACATCAGAGGAGTGTACAAACTTTTAGCCACAAAGTTCTGCCATTTGTTACTATGGGGAAAATCTGATTTTAAACAGTTGCTATGCAAAAACTGGACATTCAATCATAAAGTTGCATTCAAGCTCATCATTTATGATCAGACTGAACTTTCTGGAATTGGTTTGTTCTCAAAAAACAGGCAGAAAAATAATAAGAAGAATATTAATCGCTTTAATGCGCTAACTACATCACTGACTACAAAAACTATTACAAAAACGATTAAATTAAGTTGGTTCTCTCACCTTTGCTTTAAGTTCTTTTTATGTGTGAATGAAATATGAATGTACACTAACTGAACACTAAACTGAATTAGACACTGTAGCTTAAAAATACACCATAAAACACTCAAACGCTCAAACGCTCAAACTGCTGCATTCAGCATTTTCCACTTAATTATCTCCACCAATTAAACAGTATTTATCTTGGATGAATGAAGCTGTATTGCATCACTGAAACCATGAAGAACGTCTTTTACATCTGTAATGTATTTTACTCTGCATTATCTGAATTAAAATTAAGGTAATTATGCAAGTGCTAATAACAGTGAGAGTGAAAGAGAGAGAGGGGGAGAGGGAGAGAGAGAGAGAGACACTGATGTAGAGCTGAGAGAGACAGCGCTCCTCCCTGAGCTGTAAATCCTGTTAGAAACTCTCTCTGCTGCCCCTGATGTGAGCGACTGCGGCGGCGACACTGTTGTAAATTCCACTTTAATTTCACACTTACTTCCCGGAGCTTTGTGAGCGTTCAGCTCCGGTGAACTGCTTACACTATTATGGTAATCTACAGTGCACAGCCGCACACAGCCGCACACACCCCACTGCGGCCTCACCTATACACATATACACACGCACACACACACACACACACACACACATACACACACACACACATATATACATACATTTATATACGTTTGTGCTCATATACTGCATTTATTAATAAACAAACACATGCAAGTCAGACTGAGCAAACAGCAAAAACACAACAGTAACAGACAATACGGGCAAAAATGTGTACAGTATAATTAAGATTACTGATGGTTTCAGTATGTATCACTGTACAGTGTATTTATGTATTTTTTTTTAATAAATCCATTTCTGATGCTCAAGTAAACCTTTTTTGTTATTTGTTATTCTCCATGCTAGGCTAATGGCTAACCCTAAGAGACTGGCTTTTCCTTCCGCTCTCTTTTCCTCTTTAATTCATTACAGTCTGATGTCGCTCCTTTGACCATAAACTAGACTAACTGACCTCAGACTGCAGCCACTACACGAGAGGTGAGGGAACCTGCGAGTTCTGACCTGTTTGTACGTCACGTTGTCTGCATTTGTTTGCATATCAGTATAACGGTAATGACTAAACCAATACCTTGAAAAAATCTTTTAAAAAGTTTACCGGACGTACCGGTACATCACCCTCTACTAATAACACTTTTCACTATAAACGAGATCTATTACAATATTTTGTTTTTCAGAGGTTTATGAAGCTAGAATGGACAAAATAAACCACCAAAACGAATGACTGTGTGGATCATATGAACATTATAGAGCTTTTTAAATGAAACAGTAGAAGCCATATCGCCCCCTACGCTTCCTGTAGTGTATTACAGTCTGTCAGAGTGACTGTGTGGATCATATGAACATTATAGAGCTTTTTAAATGAAACAGTAGAAGCCATATCGCCCCCTACACTTCCTGTAGTGTATTACAGTCTGTCAGAGTGACTGTGTGGATCATATGAACATTATAGAGCTTTTTAAATGAAACAGTAGAAGCCATATCACCCCCTACACTTCCTGTAGTGTATTACAGTCTGTCAGAGTGACTGTGTGGATCATATGAACATTATAGAGCTTTTTAAATGAAACAGTAGAAGCCATATCGCCCCCTACACTTCCTGTAGTGTATTACAGTCTGTCAGAGTGACTGTGTGAATCATCCAACCATTCAAGCAATTTTTTCAGATAAATGTTGAATTTATCACCTTTACATGCACAAAACCTGCACAGGCTGTCACCATCTGAACTCCTCTGCATGGCCCTTTTTGCTGGCTGT